TTCCCCTTCCCGGCTTCTTCCTCTGCTACTTTCATCCCCAGAGCCATATTTTTTCCCTCTTTTTTTCTTCTTTTCCCGTGGTCTAGGCTCTTTTAGCAAAGACTGCAATACAAGACAAGATTATTAGAAAAAGTAATGTCAGCTCTCACAAAAAAGGTACAAAAAGGACCCAAAAAAATGAAAGGTGATGCAACCCTTGTTACCACTATGTAAATACATTTTAAAACCTGTGATATTACTGTTAACAAAAACTAACACTATCTATAAAAAAAATCGTATTTGTTAATTAAAATAAAGCTAAAATAAAACAAAATAAAATATAAATATAATATGAAAAACTAATTGTGATGTGTGGTTTTATGTAATGTATATATATATATATATATATATATATATATTACTTTTAGTATTTTTTAAAATATGTCTAGTTAGTTTTTATTAATTTTTATTTTAGTTATTTTAGTACGTCAAGTTAAAATAAATGAAAACGAGATATGTTGCTTTATATATCTATCTATAACTATTTGAATCAGATGTTAATTATAACACTTGTTAACAACAGCTGTGAGGATTTTTTGAGAGGATTTTATATTATACATGACAAATGCATGTTAGTTGTTCAAATCCACTTACGTGAATGAATCCAGTGTATTTCTTATCAATCTCCACCAGCTGTTGATCAGCTTTATTCCTCATTGTGGGTTCCAAGTCAGTTCCCATGGCAATAAGATACGGAACACACTGATGGAGGAGGAGGAAACAGACAAGTTAAACTAAAGGCTCTTTCAGACCACCTTTAGGAGAGTTTGTGCAGTGGATACGTACCTGTACGGGATGAATGAGGCCTTGGCTGAGCGTCAGGACGATTACATTGAGAGCAAAGTGCCGTACGCTGGATTGCGTGTGGAAAAAGCACTCTAGCACTTGCTTGAGGTAGAGCTGCATGATAGAACTGCTCATGCCAGATGAGATGTCACCCATCTCCTTCAGGTCCTCCTGCTTAGACATCTTCTTCCCTGAAAAGACCAATGACAAAGAATGAGAATAAAAATAGCTAACTGGATAGCTTCTTACCAAGTGACAGCTGCATTGGGCACAGACAAGAACATCCTTTATAAATGACACTCACACTCCCTGTCGGCTTCCTGCATGCGCGAGTCTTCCTCCTGCAGGTATGTCTGCAGGTTCTTTAGCACCTGGATCTTCAGATTCACTGATGTTTTCCTGTCAGCCAGGAGGCAGTTGTAGAGGTTTTTCACATCTGAAGCAAACATTAGCCCTGGGTGCTGGATGAACAGGAAGCCTGGAGAACCAACAGATCATGGTTTTGTTCACTGTGAGCACAGTGAAAAGGTAAAAACAAGAAATTCAGTGATTATGGAGCGCAAATATTTACCTAGACCAATGATGGCCTTGGTCTGCACCTCCTCATCCTCATTTTTAGTGAAATACAACAGCAGCTCCAGCACTTTGTCCTTTATGACCACCTGAAAGAGAAGACAACCATTAACCAGACAGGTAAAGGAGTGAATCTTACGAAAACATTTTCAGGTTACATTTGATCAAGGAAATGAAACATATTATAGGCCCATTAAAATATTTTCATATTGTGACATCATATTATGACATTATGCTTAATTGACATTTCAAGCATATTTTCTTCAAAATTCTCATTATTCTCCTAATGTGTCCGGATGTTTCAGTTTTGTATTTTTTTTTTATTTGATTTTTTAAACAAAATTTTTTCTCATTACTGTCAATTCTCATTAGATTCTAATTGCTGTAGTTCATTACTTTTTTATTAGTTTCAAAATGATTTAAATCAGCATTAAAAGCAGCAATGATGTATAGACAAAATGTAAAATGCATCAACTTTTTCACGTTAACAGCAGATATACAAATATAAATAAATAAATAATAACACTGCTGTAATATATATATATATATATATATACATAAATTACTTAAATATTTTTAAATGAAATGATTAAATGATTTAAATGAATGAATAAATAAATTTGACTACTTAGTCCCACTGATCTATTACAAATAGAGGTCTACTTTTATTAGTGCACAATAAGTCCATTATTATAGTACATTTATTAATGCTTACAAATTTCTCCTGGGATTCAAGACTTTTAAAATCCAGAAATCATGACTGAGGATCTCACCGTATTACTGCCTTTGAACTCCTCTTGGTCAAAGTCGAAGTGTCGGCACAGGGCACCCACAGTGAAGAGTGAACGCAGCAGAGCAGGTTTATTAGAGACCAGTACGGTGCAGTTTGGGTCTTCCTGATGCTGCAACTTCAGCTTGCTTAGTGCTCCTTTACATGAAAGAAGAAGAATTTTAGAGTAATTAACACTCTCAGGATCACAGAAGAACAAAAGAATCCTGACAGGTGTTGAAATTTACTCACCATAGTATCGGTTGAAACAAGACCACACAAACTTGTAGTTATGGGTGACCTTATTGACGACCGCACCGAGACAACTCACGCAATGCTGCACAACCTGCAGGAAACAAGGCAGATGGCACCATGAAGCTATTCATGTACAAACCGCTGGACATTAGAGTTACTGACACTTGCTCTTCAACTGACCGTCATGCCGTATTTGATGATGAGTTTCATCAGGTCTTCTTCGATGGTGGTGAGGAAATTTTCACTCGGATGTTCCATCAAAGGAACAACAAGCTCCAGGATTTTAGCCACATTACAGATCACCATAAAATCACTCTGAGTCTGTAGGGACACAATAAGCACAAGAAGTGCCTTCACTCTCTGGCCTCTAGATGGCAGCACAACACCATTTATTGCAATATATCAGGGGACACTAAACTCGGTCCTGGAGGGCCGGTGTCCTGCTCCAACTTGCCTGAACACACCTGCCTGGGAGTTTCAAGTATATATAGTAAGAAACTGATTAGCTTGTTCAGGTGTGTTTGATTAGGGTTGGAGGTAAACTCTGCAGGTTGACCAAGTTTGGTGACCCCTGCAATACATCCTAAATTTCCCGACAGCATACTCACATTACACTTTGTAGTCAGATACGGCTGCATAGTCATGGCATGTTTCACCATCAGCTGGGGTCGGATCTTGCTAAACAGGTACAGCGTGGTGATACAAGCCACTAGGCAATTGGACGTCAAGCCCTTATTATCATAGTCTGCAAAACAAAAAATAACTCATCAAAAGTTCAACCAAGGTAAATCTTTCGCTTCATAATTTAATACCGCTCATACCAGCGAGAGACTCCTCGTATTTCAGCATATGCTCCACGAGACTGTCCACCAGCTGAGCACAAGCCTTCCTGGCCGGTTTGTACGAGGCATCCTCTTCTGACTTTAACAGCTGTGACAACATCGATTACATCAGTGCTTAGGTTTTATATATATATATATAATTTTTTTACCTGACAAAAAAAAAATGTATTCCAGTTCACACTTCCTCTGGAGTAACCTGGGGCTAATGCTATGTTCAATTCAACTCAGAAAGTCAGAATTTACTTCCTATTTTGGAAAAGTGCAACAGAATGGATTTGAATGAGTATTTTGCTCTTCTGTCACCCCTTTTGGGGTTCAAACTTGCAACCTTTCAAGGTACTATCCCAGATCTCCTTGAAACCCTAAATGCACAACTAAGCATTGGAAAATCAAATCAAAATTATCCTTGAACCATAGATGGGCAACTTACATTCTGAAGGAGCTGCTCGAACCAGTCGTAACCGGAATCCCTGCATGCAGCGACCTGAGAGACAATGATTCATGTCAGAGGGACATAATGTGACCTTAAACGTGTATTATAGCACGTCTTGGGGTCAGATTTTTGCCCACTCTGCAGATCCTTACCACGTCTGTGATGTTGAGAATCTTGCGAGTCATGGCCTGTTTATCATGATTAGGTGTAGGGGTGAACCAGAGCTTCTGAAATGTCTCATTTACCAATTTCTGAATAAGAGATGGCAAAAAGAAACTGGTTATAAGAGGGCTGCACAATAATACATTTTTTAAAAACAAAATAAAAATTCTCCCTAGTATAAAAGAAATAGGTGTCTAAATTAATCTCTAATAATATTAAAAAAAAATACATCAAATATATATTTTTTGCATTATTAGAAATTAATTAAGACCCCTAAATAAGATTTTAAAAAAATTAGACCGCTAGTATATAAAGTAAATTAGCTTAAACATTTTTTCGTTTTAATATTTTAATAATTGCTTTCCCAACAAAACACAGAATACGCAACTTTTACATAAATATAAAGTACATGGATCAATACAGATTGTAAGAGAAAAACACAACTAACCTTGATGCCTTCTTCGTCATTGACCCTCCTGATCATCTTTACACACATCTCTGTGATCTTGTTGAAGGTGGGCTGCTCCAGACAGATGTCCCGTAGGATTTTAATAACCCTCTTCCTCACACTGATGCCTGTGTCCTGCAGAAAACATTTACCAACACAAATCAGCCTACACAATGAATTCAAAATAATCAGTTTTCACTGCTAACTGGAAAAAAGCATGTATTAAATTTACAATATAATTTACAACTGCAAGTAATAAGCTACAGGTGGCCAATCATCATCACTACATAAACCCAGACGGAGTGATCAGCAAGTGTTTTATTTCATGGGTTTTGCCAAATACATAAATAAACAAACAAACAGGTGGACATGGAATATTGATTTGGATACGGTTGTTCTTTAAAAAGGGAGAAATAAAAAACATTCATGGTAACAATTTTGTAACAATTTTGTTTTTGTTTTATTGTAAAATTAATCTTTTACTGATTTTACTGGTGATTATTAATTATTTTGTAGTATATCAGGAAAAATAAATATTGATTAATTGAATTATTTTATTACATGAGAACAAAGAAACTGGTGACTGCTACTAGAGGCATCAAGCAAGCAATTAAGGAAATCTATTAAAGACAAGGGTCAAATATATTTCTTTGCCGTTATAATACAAAAAATATTTGACTGCAAAATTCTACAATTCATATATGCAAAAAAAGCACAAACCAGGATGCGCTCGATCAGCATGTCGTAATACTGTTCAGTTAGCTGTGGTCGACTCAGTACGAAGCGCCCCAGCAGCTCTACCGCAGCTTCTCTCACGCTGGTGGAATTATCCATCAGTCGGCCATGAACTCCCCGCTGCATGTCCGACTAAACCAAAAAAGCAAATGAGAATTAAAAATATGCAGATGAGAACATTAACAAGCTTCGTTTTTTTGGAAACTGCACTCACCCGTGCCAGAATGCTTGGATCCACCGCAACCACCTCAGAAAGACATTTCATCGCTTTAGTTCTCACTGCGATGGCACTTTCACCGAGAACTCTCAATATCTACAGACACAAATGGGGAGATGTATTATTGATATGCAAATACAAACAAAAATGCTGAGATGTGATGACCTCTAACCTGTGTGAGATAAATATCAAAGCTCTGTGCAAACGGCCTCATGGAGGCCAGATATCGCACAATAAGACACGAGTCCTCATAGTCGACAGTATCTGAGTTTATTCTGTGAGAAAACACATAGCAGGTGTCAAAACGCTTCTAAACATATCACATTTTCATTTTTTGGGTAAACTATCCCTTTAACAAAGTTGTTTTGGCAAAGATCGCTGCTGTTTGTACCTCAGTGAGCTGAATTTCGATGCCGAGGTCTTGATAACAGACCGGAGGAACTTCTTGCGCGCTTCTGCTTTCTGCAAGATCTCACTAGTGGTCTCGACGTCCCTGGCATGGTGCGGCCCATCGGACGAGTCGTCGTCCCTCTGACTTTGCGCTTTCATGGCTTTCTCTGTCTCAGTGCTGGTGTCCCTGAACCACTGCGCGATGTAGAACTTCCGTGCAAACTTTTGGAAATGAAGACATCACAACAACATTAAAACCACTAGAGATTCTTAGGGCTTTTTTTCTCGTCACAATAATATGTCTGAATTTTCTCACCAATAGCGACGGGTCAGTCTCTACGTTCTCGTCCATGTAACCCAGCAGAGCCTTCTGCAGCTGCTGAATCTCATCACTGCCTGAGCTCTGTAAAACACAAAATAGCACGAGTTTCTTTCAGACCAGGAGGGATTCATACATGCGATGGCACAGATGGGCGTACTCTGCCGTTTACCTCTCCGAGGATGCGGTTGATTGAACGCTGGTCCATTTTGCTGGTGACGGCATCTTTGCGAAGACGTGCAGCCACTGTGCCCAGATAATCCAAAGAGGCCACTCTCAAAGCCATCTCTGTCTGCTTATTACTGAACTGGTGAACCTACAAAGAGAAACCAGAGCGTTGGGTGAGTTTTCAAGTGATGTAACGGGGCACATTCTACCTGTGAAATATCAATCTGAAACTCACCAGCAGCCTTCCCAGAAGGCTCAGCAGCAGTTCTGCAGCTGGCCAATCAGGTTTATTCACTGTGGACAGTAGATCCTGAACAAAGTTCTCAAACAGTGGCCTGTAGTCATCCTCACCTTGCTTACTACCACACCTAAAATTAAAAAATAAATAAACGCAAGTGTACGTTAATTTCCAAGAATGACAATATATTTTTTTTTTAAATGAAATGTAGCAGTTATCTAAAAGCATATACAGAGCATCTGCTGCTCATTCCTTTGCAGTAATATTATTCAGTACCGTCCCTGTCAAATAAACAAATGCCCCTCCCTCAGAAGAATTTACAAATAAATTACAAATAAACAAATAAATTAAAACATTTAGAGACAAAGTACAAAAATAGGTAAGTAAAACTACAACGATAATTTAGCGATGCAGGTGTTGTTTGTCCTGAGATGGCATGGTTAAGCCCTCTTGAAAAGCATCAGATGAGAGTAAAACAGGTGTTTCCTGAGACAGTGTACATTCTCAGCTTAAAGACACGGTATGTAGATGAAAAGACATGCATTACTGATCCCAGAACACCACTGCTTAAATATAAATGACTTAAAAGTAAATTTTTTCCCCAATATAAATGGGTTGAATTGTGTGGGTGGAATAATGTCAGGGGCTTTTCTTACTTTTTGAGGAAAACGGAGAGGAAGTTTTGTGCTGTTCTCATTGCAGTCTCATATGAGTTTGTGATTAATACATCCTGATCAACCTGAAAAAAAAAAAGAAGAACTTTATAAAGTAAGCCTAAAAGGCATAAAGAAAAAAAATACAAATATCGAACATTCTTGGAAAGCACTTTTTTTACAGAAGAGACTCACAATCACTTGTAGTAATGTGACAGTCATTTCAGCATGTAGCTATTAGCTAAGAATACAAACCAAAAACTAAAACGTGCCAAAAAAAGGCTTTAAACAGGGTCTTCTTGCTATTTTACCTTTAAGCCCTCTGTCAATATAAAATGACAACATGGAATATGTAAATGACCTCAAAGGCTTAGCGTCAGTAAGATCTTTTTATTTAAAGAAATTAATTGTATTCAGCAAGGATGCATGAAATTGATCAAAAGTGACAACAACGGCTTATAACGTACCAAATCAGCATATCAGAATGATTTCTTAAGGATCATGCGACACTGAACACTGGAGTAATTGCTGAAAATTCAGCTTTTGCAATTGCATCAGAAGAATCAATTACATTTTAAAACAGAAAATACCTATTTTAAATTGTAATAATATTTCATAATATTGTTGTTTTACTGAATTTTGTATCAAATAAATGCAGCCTTGGTGAGCATAAGAGATTTAAAAACATTAAAAAAGTCTTACTGACCCCAAACTTTTTTTTTTTTTTCCCAGGAAGGTTTTGGGTGGAGAGTTCACTTCAGTGAACATCAGGGTATGTCTGATCATAACAGCAAGGAAAATCCTTTTCCAATACATCTGAAGATTCAATTTACCTTTCTGTCATTATAATCATCTGAGTCCTTATCAGAAGGTAGATGGACCACACACTGAATGAGCTGCAGAACTAGCGCCGTCACCATCTGAATGTACATGGGCTCGCCATCCATGTCACTGCTGTTCAGTCTGAACACACAGTATAGTCAATGCATATGCTCAAAAAGTGCCCTTGTCAGCTGGTAGAATAGACTGCAGCATATACCTGAAATTTCTTAAGTTTCTCTTGCTGGTTGGCAGTCTGGCAAGAGAGGTGAAGATCTCCTCCAGAATCAGCTGCCTGTGCTTCTCATATCTAGAGAAAACCTAGAAATTGCACAACACAACAGTGTTAGCTGCAGTTAGTACAGCAAAGTATAGTGTAAAGAAAGCTGAACCGCACTGGTACTTACAGCCGTCACTAGTTTAATAGCACAAAGCTGCAGCTCACTCACATTCTCAACAAAGAATGGAGTGATACCTAGAGACGAGACCTGTAGAGAGAGATACACAAGTGCGGATTTAATAATTTTGCAAATGGAAATTAAACCTGACTACATCTACATTCTAAATTCATGTTTCTGGCCTTATTCTGCTTGATTCATTGGTATATGAAATGTTTGTCTACACAATATTTTGCCAAAATGTAATAACGGCTGACTGCAGCAAAGTACAAGATAATTTTATTTAGAAGCAGCAGCAGTCAGAGATTAGACTCTCACCTGAAGGATGGTCGTGTCAGTCAACAGCTGAATCTCCAAGAGTTCAGACAGGTTACTGATAATGTCACAAACTTTGTTGTAGAGCATGACAGCAACTCTCTGCTTGTGCGTTGAGCACTTTGCTCGCTTGGCTTTTGAGCTTAGCGTTCCACCTGAAACGGACCAAGAATAGACATAATTTGGACAGTTGTTGTGATGACCAGGCATTTTGGTCAGGACAAAAAAAAAAAAAGATGTAAAAATCTGTTTTTAACCCATTCAACATGACTATACAACAACAATGCTATCATTATTATCAAAAATTATATTTTTATTTAAATGATAAAAAATGAAATAAAAAAATACTACTATAGCAGTAATACTATTGTACAGTAAAATTAAAATGAGTATTTATTAATAATAATAATTTTATACAACAACATTAAAATGAAAATACTAATATTAGTGTCATTGCTTTCATGTGGTGCTTGGTGAATGCTAATTTTGAACTGAGGTGTTAAGGGTGTTTTCCACAAAGCCGCTAGATGATGCCACTCGCTTGTGCAGTGCAGTCAGAAATTACGGCATACATGCATGAAATACATTAACATTAATATGTCTGCTAAATTATTAAATGTAAATGTAAATACATGCATTTTAAATGTATTTGAAAATGCAGCATTTTCCCCTAAAATTTACTCAATTCATGCGGGTCATACTTCAGGACGGAAAATAAAGAAATCTGTATAATTATGGAAAAATTACATCCTTGGATGACATATACCCACTTTGTCCTAACTAGTAAAGTTTCCAGTATCAAGCTGGAAGCAATTTCAGTCCAGAATGAAAGCAATATAATAACATTACAGCCAATCAGAAAATATTTGATAATAAGAGACCAATGAGATTTCACAGTCGGGATAAAAATATAAACCAAGCAACAGATGTCTTGTCGTACAAGCACTTTGTGGCCCTGCCTGGTGGGGACAAAAACTCAAGTTAGCATGGAATAGAAAGGATCTTGTAGGTTAGGACACAGTGTTAAGGTGCAGGACTGACCGCCATGAGGGTCCACCCTGTAGACGGGGTCGTACTGCGGGTACAGCGTGTTTTGTAGATGGAACTTGGCGTACTGCACGACCCTCTCGATAACATCCTCAATGTAAACAGCCTTCGGCATTCGTGCTGAGGTCATGATGTTAAGAGCCATCAGACAAGCATCAGCAGATTTGGTGACACGTTCCATGATGAGGTCACGCCACAAACGCTCCTCGTCGTCCCTGTCGTTGTCCTGAAATCACAAGGACAGGGAACCTGTCAGTGAGAGTCAATGGCAGAGCCATTCCACCAATAGAAACTACAATGATGCTTACATGATTCATGAGGGTGGAGAGCTTCGCACCATCCTGAATGTTTTTTTCCAAAATACTCTGGACCTTCACCATCTTATCAGATGGAATCTGAGGATAAAAGCAGTTAGTATTAAAAGATCAAGTATTTATGATGTGTCCTGTCTCTTGAGACTTGAGATCTCTCCTGTTGACAAAGGTGATCCTGTACCCACCTTATGCATGATGCCCATAGCCTTTATTTTGGCTGATTCACTGTTTAACTCCGAGAGCTGGTGTTTTCCGAGGAGCAGCTCCTGAGGAATCTCGTCATCATCTGCATTCATTAAATCAATTACTGTCAAACTTGCAGAAGCATTCCAGTACGGCAGAATCTGAAATAATTTGAACCTTCAATGTCAAATGTAATAATTTCTCCACATTTGTACATTTACCTAATGATGTCAAGTCCACATCTTCAAGGTTTTCAAGAATGTTGTCAACACTGGTGGAAAATCTCTTGAACGTGGATGAGTCCATCATTTCTGTGGAGCACAAGTTGGATTACTAAAGATCTCAGCATTTCAGATCGCTCAACGCTGATTACAATCTGCAAACATACCGTCCTCAGTCAGTTTGGGCTCATAGGCTTTCCTCTTTTTCTGCTTTTCCTTCTTCTTCAACTTTCTGGCAACTTGTTGTTGAAGGATGTCAAAGATCAGAGTTATTCGATTTCCACACTTCAACCCATTTGAGCAACAAAACTGTCAACACTGACAACATAACAAATGCTAACATGTACAAGTGGTCACTTACGATCACTCAGGCTGGGAGGGGGTGAATCTTCATCCGAGTCCACGGGACTTCGTTCTCTGTATTGACTGCCTGAACTTCTCCGGCTGTCGTAGTGACCTCCACTTCGTCGATGAACTCCAGAACCCCTCCGGTCCTTTTCTTCATATTCCCATGCTTTGTTTCGGTCCTTTTTCAAACGCTTTGGGGGCACTAAAAGCCAGGAAGACAAAAAATTTTAATGGAAAAGCAACTTAAATCTATCTCAACTCTAAGAAATAAGGCAGAGGAGACATTATAATTCAGAAGAAATATTGGAGACAGCCAGAAAAAATTACATTACTAACAATTTAGGTTTTCATGCAAACATGGGTTTGATTATTCATCAAGATCAGTTCGAATCTGGACTAGTGTAAAAACTGTCTTTGAAGCCATTAGAAAGGTGAAGGTTTAAAGTGAACAACAATACAGTTTGTATTTAATTCAAAATGGATGTGAACTAACTGCATTCTGTAGGACTATTTTACCAAGTTTATTAGTAACAACAACTAAACCAAAGCATTGCTTTCCATTTCAATTTTTGTACTAACATTGATGATGAAACCCTGATTTGGATCAAGCAGGTACATTAAGTGTGAAAACAACATTAGATTCAGTATATTTACTTACGTTCTACAGAGCTACTGTCATCATCTGAGCTGACTTCAGCATACTTGGGCTTCTCATTAGTGGAGCTGCGTCTGCGTTTATTCATTTTCACCCTCTCACACAGTGGCATACGGGAATCCATCTCTGCCAGCACATGATGAGGAATTTCCGTTAACACTACAGAGAGGGCTACTCAAACTCTTCAAATGCACATTCAGACAATCTGTCAATTCGGTGTACAATGAACCAAAAAAAACTCACTGGCCATAAAATATCAAGAAAACAGGGGTCACAAGGACTTACCTCCAAACGATTTTCCATAAGACGACTTGCTCTTGCTTGACTTGCTGCGCGAATTACTGATCAACTTCTGGACCTCATCAATGGAAAGTTTCTTCAGAACAACAACAGGTTTGGCGCCCTTATTGAGGTCCTCCACCAGGTCCAGTTTTTCTAATTTCACAAGTGGCTCTCGTCGCATTTCTTGCATGACGTTACCGTCTTTGTCCCGTTTCAACTTGGGAATGACAAAGTTCTTTAATGCACTCGATTTGCCCCCCAGTAGGTAGTTGGGAAATTCTGCCGTTTTACTGTCCGAGGACGGAGGCTTGTGTCCATCAAGTCGGTTCTTGTCTCCACTCCGTTTCTCGTCTTTGTTGTTGGAAGTTTTGTGGATTGACCGTTCAGGTTTTGTTTTGGATTCTGCTCCACTACGAGGTTCCTGCTTCAACCGAGGACTGTTAGGACGGGAGCGCTGCTCAGGAGACCGCTTGTCCCGGGACTCTGTTGATTCTGTGTGGCGTTTCTTTTCTTGGTCTCGATCCCTGTCCCGATCTTTATCCCGGACCCTCTCCCATTCCTTGTCCTGATTTTTCTCTCGTTCCCTGTCCCGATCTTTTATCCGCTCCTTGTCCTGATCTTTCTCCCGCTCCTTGTCCCGATCTTTCTCCCGCACCTTGTCCCGATCTTTCTCCCGCTCCTTGTCCCGATCTTTCTCCCGCACCTTGTCCCGATCTTTCTCCCGCACCTTGTCCCGATCTTTCTCCTGCTCCTTGTCCCGCACCTTGTCTCGATCTTTCTCTCGCTCCTTGTCCTGATTTTCCCCTTCCTTTCCTGGTTCCTGATCCCGATCTATGTCCCTGTTGTGCTCTACCCGGCTGGACTTAGATATGTCTGGTCGTCGGACTTTAGAACCTTCACTGTCCCGATCCTTTTGCCTCTCCTCTTTGCTCTCTCGAGTTGACTCTGACCATCCTTTCTGTTTTCTGGAAGTTTCATGACCTTTTCCCTCAGGCCTCACTTTGTCAGACTTACCGTCATGTCTGTGCTTGGAGAGATCCGATCTTTTTTCCGAACTCACTTTGTTGGAGATCTCCTTGCGGTTCTCGTGCTTGTGTTTGGGAGTCTCTGGTCGTCCATCTGAAGCAGTTTTCTGTGGCGTAGTTTCCACCCGTTGCTTGATGACTTCTGGACGACCATCTACTGTCCTAAGCACCTCTCCATCTGTCTTTGATTTGAGCCGCAAGACCCCGGTGGATTCAGAACCATCTTCTGGCCAGCGCTGGGCCTCTGTTGCAGGGACAGGACAGGAGTCCACTGGCCCTTCCACCCTCCCTGCCTGTTGCAGGTCTATACTGACCATCAAGGCCGGCCGACTGGCTCCGTTACTAGCGGCACAAGCCTCTTGAGGTACCAGTTTGTTCCCAGCATTGCATCCGCCACCCACGCCAGGTGTTCCAGAAGAGCCAGCGGTGCCCGCAGCTCCTGGTTCCTGAGGGTACGAATCCTGCTTTCTCTTCTTCAGAGGTTTGTCTGCAGAATTAGAATCACACAGGTAAGAAGAAGTATTTAACACATGTACATTTTCATCAACACATATGAGTGGAGCTTGCTAAACTCTCTGGCTCGATGCTAGGGTTTTCTGTGGCTGCCAGGGCACTGCTGTGTGGTTGTTAAGGTGTTCTAAGTCGTTAGCATGTTACTATGTGGTCGCTAGAAGGTTCTGGGTGGTTACCAGGGTGCACCTTGCTAAGGAAAGGTGTTATAACATTACTATGTGGTTGTTAGAATGTTCTAGGTTGTTGCCAGGGTGCTGCTATGTGGTTTTCAGGGGGTTCTGATTGGTTGTAAGCATGTTACTCTGTGGTTTCTTGGGCACTGGCACGTGGTTAAGCTGTTACTATACAGTTGCTAGGATGTTCTAGGTGGTTACCAGGGTGCTGTTTGTTGATTGCTAAGGTAATCTCATTGGCAGTAAGCAATTTACCCTTTGGTTGTCAGGATGTTCTGGGTAGATGCCAGGATCCTGATATATGGTTTTTAAGGTGTTGAATTGTTGTACAAGCTGAATTGTTGCTAGGATGTTCAGGATGTTTGCCAGGGTGTTGCTTAGCAGTTGCCGAGGAAGGTCTTACTAGAAAATTCAGGGTTGCTTCCAGGATGCTGCTATGTGGTTCTTAAGGTATTCTGAATGGTTGTTAGAAAGTTACTACATGGTTGTGGATGGTTGTCAGGATATTGCTTTGTGGTTGCCAAGTTTTTCTGATTGGTTTCTAGCATGCTACTACATGGTTGCTAGGATGTTCTTGGGTGATTGCCAGGGTCCTGCTTTGCAATTGGTAAGGTAAGGTGTTACTATACAGTATTACAATGTGGCTGCTAAGATGTTCTGGGTGGGTGCTAGGGAACTGCTTTGCAGTTGCTAAGGTAAGGTGTTATTATGATACTATGCATTGCTAGGATGTTCAGGGTGGGCACCAGGATCCTACTATGTGTTTTTTTAGTTGTTCTGAATTGTTTGTAGTGGTTGCTAGGGTGTTGCTTTCCAGTTACCAAGGAAGTTAAGGGTGGTTGTCAGGATGCTACTGTGTGGTTCTTGAAGTATTCTGAATGGTTGCTCTAACAACAGTTAAAACGTGGTTGTAGATGTTGCTAGGACATTGCTTTGTGGTTGCTAAGTTGTTCTGATTGGTTTCTAGTAGGGCTGCACGATCTAAGTTGTTGTTTCTAGTAGGGCTGCACGATTAATCGCATGCGATATTTAACGCGCATCTTGTCAGAAATCAGAAAGTGTAATCAGCGGTAAATCTCCATCACCTGCGTGCTTTCACATTGAGCAGCATTAACTACACAGAGCCGTTGTTCACTGA